GAAAGGGGGTGGGAGGGAGGGAACCATCGATGTGAGAGAGAAACATGGATATTGATGAGCTGCCTCCCCTCCGAGCCCCAACTGGGAATCGAACCCACAACCTAGGTATGTGCCCTGACCAGGAATCGACTGGCAATCTTTTGGTGTACGGTGTAAGGGGCGATGCTCCAACCAACTGAGCCACTCAGCCGGGGCAAGAGTTTCTGTGGTTTGTTTTTTAAATCATTATGGAACATTTACTATTATCCAACATTTTTCTGCATCTCATGATTTATCACATTTTTCACTTTCTATGTTATTGTAATGAGTTACATTAATGGATTTTTAAAATATTAACCTCTCCTTGCATTACCATAAAAAACTCCACTGAGTGTTCTATGCAATATGTGTTATATTTTTTATATTTCACTGGGTTCAGTTGCTAATCTTTTTCAGGAACTTTTATCTATGTTTACGAGTAAGATTGGTTTATCATTTTCTTATCTTAAGCTGTCTTTGTCAGGTTTTAGCATTAATTTAGCCCTCAAGTGTTCCTTCTTTTAATGTGTTCTAAAGTGATTTTTTATAAAATTGAAATTTTTTCCCATTACTGTTCATTACAAATCACCAGCAAAACCATCTAGAGTTGGCATTCTCTTTCCAAAGACCATTACTTATTTCATCCACCTTTGCTGCTGATAGAATATTCACGTTTCTAATTATTTCAGTCAATTTTGATAAGTTTCCCCTCCTAAGAATTTTTGCATTTTATCTAAATATTTACCTTTATTAGCAAGAAATTTTCATAAAGCCCATTTATCTTTGACTATAGTGTTTATGATTATGTCTTCTTTGTCATTCCTAATATTCTTTATTTTTACTCTTTTTCTTGATGAACTCAGCAGAGGCATGTCATGTTCAATTCTCCAATTTTGGCTGTCTTGGTCATCCAACATTTTTTCTATTTCATTAATGTCTGCTCTTATTTTTAAATTATTTTCTTCCTACAATTTTTTTTTGGGGGGGAGGGCAGATTTATTCTATTTTCTTTTCCTAACTTTTCTTTTTCCCTAACTTTTAGAGCTGGATGCTTATCTCACTAATGTTCAGTCTTTTTTCTTTCCTGAAAAAAGCCTGAAGACTATAAATTTCTCTATCAGTACAATTTTAACTCAAGTCCACTAGATTGATATGCAATATTGATATGATTGTCTAGTCATCAATAGTTTCTAATCTCCATTATTATTTATTCTTTAGTCCCCTGAATAATTCAGAAGTATGTGTCTTAATCTCCAAATACATGCATGTTTCCTAGTTATCTTTGTGCTTTTGATTTTTTATTTTCTTCGTGAATAGAGAACATGATATGTTTGATACTAATTTAAAATTTGGTGTACTGACACAGTATGTGGTCAGTTTTCATAAATGTACTTTGTATACTGTGTGCTTGAGAAGAATATATATCATGAATTGCTGGGTGCAATATTCTGTATATGTGTATGGCCTTTGATAATGCTTTTAATCGAGTAGTTTCACTCTTCCATATTTTGATCTTTCAATCTGTTTCATCTGTTAATTACCTAAGGGTGGGATAAAAATATCCACTTAATGGTGGGATAATAAATTCTTCCTTATAGTTCTGCCAGTTTTTTAGCTCTCAAAATGGTTTACTTGTCTTAAAGTCTACAACAAATTCATTCTTTATAGGTCATGAAATTTTCCATTAGCTGCATTTTTAATAGCTTCGTTGATTTAAAATTTACATACCATAAAATTCACCTAACTAAAGTGTGCAGTTGATAGTTGTTAGTATATTCACAATGTACAACAAAATTTTAGAACAGTCTCATCATCTCAGAATGAAACCTTGTAACCATTAGATGTCACTCTCCATTTCCCACCCTCTACCTCCAGCTGTAGACAACCACTAATCTACTTTCTCTCTCTATGTATTGGCCTATTCTGGGCATTTCATACAAATGGAATCATACAATATATGTACTTTGTGACTAGCTTGTTTCATGTAGCACAATGTTCCAAGGTTCTTCCATGTTGGAGCATATAGTACTTCATTCCTTTTTATTGCTGAATAATATTCCCCTGAATGAATATACCACATTTTGTCTACCAGTTCACCAGTTGCTGGGCACTTATGTTGTATCCATATTTTGGCTATGATGAATGATGCTACTAAGAATATTCATGTACAAGTCTGTGTGGACATAGGTTTTCATTTCTCTTGGGTATGTGCATAGCTATAAAATTGCTAGGGCATACGGCAACTGTACATTTAGCATTTCCACCAGCAATATATGAGGGTTCTAATTTCTTCACACTCTTACCAGAACCTGTTATTATGTCTTTTTAATTATAGTCATTACAAGGGGTATAAAGTGGTATCTCACTGTGGTTTTGACTTGCATTCCTCTAATAACTAATGACATTAAGCATATTTTCACATACTTATTAGCCATTCATGTATCTCTTTTGGACAAATGTTCTAACTGCTTCCTAAGACTTTTTAAACAAAAAGTCTTACCTCTGAGATGTTATGGCTTTATTTGACACAAATGGATAGGTTTGTTTTTACTTATCCCGTTTGGGGTGCTTTGAGCCTCCTGAATTTGTGAATTGGCACCTGTCATCAGTTTTGGAAAACTCTCAGCTTTTATTTCTTCAAATATGGCTTCTGAATAGTGACTGTACTCACCCTTCCCTCTGGAACTCTGGTTATACTTTACTTGACCTTCTTTTCCCATCTTCTATGTATCTGAACTCATCTTTCACATATTGCATCTTTTA